CAGAGAACTCGTCCGACGGCTCTGGCTCAGCCACAGGAGTCGGGGGACCCTGGACTTCATCAGTGCACACACGCTGAGCTTCGTCAGCGGCAGCCAGAGCAACCCTCACTGCTTCCAGCTGCACGGGCCTAAAAGCCGCCCCAAACTCGCGAAACCACTGGTCGCACACGTGTCGCTGGATCGAAGACGGAGAACAATCACGATAGTCTCTGCTCGTAAGCAGGCTCTTCAGCGACTCCAGAGTGCGAGCCACACGGCCGCAGCTCCTGCACTTATAAGTGCTGGTGGCCTCGCAGCGAAATAACACATGGCTAGTGACCGTGACCTTAGGAGGGGCAGGGGCTCTCAAGAGGCGGAGGGGACGATCAGGGTCAACTTGTGTCCATGTGCCTGACTCGAGCAAACGTTGAGCAGCCCATGCAATGAACCGCACCGTGGACTTGTGATATTTTAATTCACCTGATACCGCCGCACAGAAACCTTCAGCCAGCGTGTGAGAGCTAGCCCCTAGTTTGGCGAAAAAAACAGCCCACAGGTTCCCAGCCCAACTCTTGATACACAGCCCACGCTCCAAAACGTCGTCAAAACTCAGATGGGCAGGGAACCAGGAGAACTGGGGGTGATTAGACTTCAAGTCAAAAATGGACCTCCAGATCGATGCATGCTTGGACATGCCTTGGGAAAGATGCAGGCTCCAAGAGTTGCCTTCACGCACTACTGCCTGGAGGTCCGAAACAATACTCTGATGCTGTGGGTGAAAAGCCAGACCCTGCCGCACTGCCCAACGTTCAGCGCGACCTATGGTCTGACGCTCACCTGGAAGCGCTCCATATACGGCCCTCAAGGGAAGCAGGCAATCAAATAACTGCACCACGCTCCAACCAGCTCTGGAGACCTCTGGGACCCCAGAGTGAAAGCAGCTCCCGTCAGTGAAAGACTGAGGGCCCCAGGGCCCAGAGACGTCCCCAAACTCAAAAATAGGCGGGTTGGCAAGCGGAGCGGGAATATTAGTGGGGAGAGGAGGGATGCCATAAGTTAAATAATTAGAGTGTACATCGGGCTCCCCAGTAATAGAGGCCCGAGACTCAATCAGAACGCGCCTATGCTTAGCTAGGGCCTCAGGAACCTCGTCACCCAAAGCGTCAACCCCGTCGTCAGTGATGAACTTAGAGCAGGCATACCACACATGTCCGTACGTACCTTGAGGAGCGGAGCAGGCAAGGCACACTGGTGGTACATCATATTGTAGAGCAGAAAGTGCAGCAGGTAGCGGAACCACATTCCCCCAGACGGCCGCCAGGGCCCCAAGAGCCCGCTGGTCTTTTACAGCACGTATGCCATTACGTAGCGCACGAAACCAAGGCTCCCCTTCTGGAGGGTCAGTGTTATAGAGGTGCTGCTGCAACCGACGTATCTGCCACCGCTGCACACCTTCAATAATCGCAATACGCACATCACCAGGACACACCACCAGCAGCGAAATATCTGTACCAAGATCGCTGCGAAAAGTGTGGGCATTGACCATCGTCCAGCCGATGCGAAGCAGGCTGAGCCACACCGCCGACAGCGGACCTCGAGCCTGCTGCCAGGTAGGGTTGTCGGACATGATGTCTCTCAGACGGGTCCAAGCACGTTGAAGTCTCGATAACTGAATCCTTTCGTCCCAGACGAACGTGGCGAACTTAACACACACACAAGTAGTGGAGTCGTAGATCGGGTCGTATTGCGGATCGGCCTGCGTCAGCAGATACGAAGTAATGCCACCGTGCTGCTTGGCCCCTGCGATCGTAGCCGCAAGCTGCCTCAAATACTTTAGCGCAGTGTCTGAGATGCCCGACACGGAGCCACCGTGTCCAGCTGCTGGGAGAGCTCCAGTCCTCCACAGTCGGGTTGCACGCTTGCCAGTTGCATGTTTCAGCACAACGAACTTGTCACGACGACGTTTGAGAGCCTGTAACCTTTTCTTCTCCTGCGTGCGAACAACCCGACCAGCAGCTAATTCATGCCCGAGATTTCTCATCCATTTACGAACCGGTAGATGCAGCCGAATAGCCATCTTCGAAAACACCTTCCGAGCCACTTTGTTCCCAGCAATGAGCCCAGACTTCTTGACATGGGAGTGGAGCCCGAGGACCTTGGCATCTTCAGTGAACACTTTCACAGCACGCTCCAGGAAACGCACGTCCCGAGGATCCGAAGTGACGAGCTGAATCGAGATGTCGTCGACTAGGGCTCTCGGTGTTATACAGGGCGAGATGTCGTTGAGCCTACGCACCGCGCGCAGCGTGAGGAGGAAAAGCATGCCTGTCGCATGATTGCACCCAGCAAGGATGCCTTGATGCGAGCAGAACTGCACAGACAGACTGCCGAAAGCTCGAAGACGTCGTGGCTGCCTGTACAGATCCACCAACATCCAAGCTAGCCGCATTGGAAAGTGCAACGCTTCAGCTTCTTTCAGCAACTGCTCCGAGTGTACCATCTCGAAGCATTTGATCATATCTAAGAGGACAGAAATGGAAATATCACCGACTAGCGCCGCTATCTCGGCAGCAATGTTGTGAGCAAAAGCACTGTCTGAGGAGCTGTGTCCCCGACGAGTCCCCCAAACAGCGTGGCAGTCATTACGCTCTTGCCAGTCAAAGGTGATGGGCTTGCGAACTTTGCCCCAGACACGGCACAGCAAAGAGACGAGCGCGATCAGTCGAGTCCCACCATCTGGTTTGGCAAGACGACACATCTCATTACAGACACGCTCTCTAGGCCAGGCTAGATGCAACTCGCACAGGTTAAAGAGTTCTGCAATCGCCGAGAAAGCCTGTCTAGGCAGGTGTATTAAAGCTCTCGGATGAATACCCATCATGCCTCCAGCAGTGCGAGTGGGGTAAGTGTGAACAGCATCCTCCACCTGAGCGGCCGTGATGCGCGGCAACATGGGCCAGCTGGTGGACCCTCGCGGAACCTCGAGAACGGAACAACCGTGGGACAACCAAACCTCCTTCCAGGGAACGAGTTCCGCATCGGCCTGCTGGTGGGGAGCCTCACGCGCCTGGTTGCTTAAAACCTCTTGGATGGCCTTCACCTTTGAGAACCTGTGAGCCTTCGAGGCGCCAGCAGAGAAAGCGTCCCTAGCCCATTGCCTCCAAGCCTGGGACGCCGCGTTCTCCGCACGAGCAATTGCAGCCTTCGCCCGGATGTAGATAGTGAGCATTCTGGCCACATCGGGACGTGCAAGGACGGCGAAGCCGCCATTGAAGAAATCACGCACCTCAGAGTCAAGGCAACCTAGGACTTTTTTACAGCGGGCGATGTTGGCCATGAAACGATCGAACTCCTCAAAAGCCGAGAGAAGCTTGCGACATTGGCGAGGCGCAGCAGAACACGGAGCATCGTTTTCTTGCAACAGCCTAATTTGCTCACTGAGATGTTCTCTGGCCTTGCCAAGGTGTTTGGCCCACCCAAGAGCGACGGCCCAGGCACGTGCCTGCGGATCCTTATAAGTCCTCCTTCTGGGGGGAGTCCAGACAAGCTTTTTGAAATGGACCTCAAGAGGCCCACTGCGGCCCACGTAGGCCTCGGCGGCAACGCCAACACGGTCCCACCTGGCGGCCAGCTCTCTTTCCACCCCTTCGAGGACGAGATCCCAAAAATCAGCAACTTTGGCTACAGAGTCCACTTGCGGGGCAGCGGTCGTCAAAACCGCGTGCCACGGGTATATAGGAGGTCTAGCGCAGCCAATGGGAGGGGTCGACGGGAAAGCTTTCGGGACCTTGGCCACCCGAGCCCAAACAGGCGTCTCCCGAGCCCTCAACGTAAGCTGGACGGGGAGGTGAGGGTAGGTGGTGGCAGCCTCTAACACGCACGTGCGGGGGTTGAGCTTTGGCGCCAGCCAGCTGCTGCAAATGAAATAATCAAGGTGCGTGCCAGGTGAAACCTGCCTGCAAGTGGGCGCCTCAGAAACGAAAGCCAGTCCTCCAGCCGCCGCTATCCAGTCGGACTGGTCCAGGGCGGTGAGCGGCATGTTGAAATCGGCGCCGATGATCCACGGGATCTGCATGCCGTTGAGCACTGACAGGTACTCGATGATCTCCCACACCAGCTCGGCGTTGCACGGTCCGTACCCTTCGCCGTCCTTGAGATAGGCCGACAGGAAGACAACTCCTCCAGGAACAAAGGACATGACGTGCGCAGCCACCAGCCTGCCAGGAACAAGTACATGACTAGCGCGGCCAGGAGGCGCCTTGATGGGAATGTGTGACCTGACCAATACTGCAACTCCACCTGTAGTGCCAGGCCCTCCATCCTGGTTAGGCACAGCAGGGCCCCAGAGCCCTCTCCAGCCAGTGTCTTCAACTTGCGACTGACGCTCTCCAAGCTTGGTATCAGGCACATGGTGCTCTTGTGCAAGCACCACGTGAGCAGTGCTGTCCACCAGGTAGTCGCACAGTGGACCCAGCGAGCTCGAGTTGAGCGTCACAATTTGTGAGTCGCTTTTACCCTTCACCTGGCCAACAACCTTGACATCAGGTCGACGAACCCCTGGACAGTCGGCACCCTCTGTCACGCGATGCCCATCGGGCGAGCGTGGTGAGCAGTGCGTGCTGCCAGGGTCTAAAGGATGCATGCCATCGGAACGACCAGCAGTAGAGCCATCCACCCTCGTCGAGCAAGGGGCCGAGCTCGTCAACGCAAACGGCGCACATGTGGCGCTCTCTGCCTGCCCCCTGGTGACAGGTGAGTGTAGCGACCGAGACGATGGCGTAGCACCCGTAGTCGCAGTAGCTGCCCTTGCAGAAGACGCAGTAGGGGCAACCTGAGCACATGAATCATACAGATCAGGCTGACTGTCAGCTGCTTGATCAAATTGAAAGGGGTCAACGTCAGGATCGTCCATAAGAGAACGCCTGGGAGCTGAGGTCAGCTCCTCTTGGGCAGTAGGCGTCGTCATTGCAACAAAAGGATAGCATAGACAGAACAAAACCACAGCAAGCCGCCCGATCACATTACGCAGCGGTCGCACCACTGGTCTTGAACTTCTTGGTAAGCGAGTGAACTTGGGCCAAATGACGCTTGAGCTTGTCACGAAGCTCACGCTCCTTAGTGTCGTCAATCTCGTCATCATCCCCGCCCACGTCGACATCGATACCGCACTCTTTGAGATGCTCACGGCATGTGCGACCGTCCAGGCCATCGACGTGAGCATTAGCACGATCCTGATCTTCATCATCGTCGATATCCATGGATTCTCGAGCCTCAGGAGGAGTGGACTGAGTCTCGTGCTGAGGCGGTTCAGGTGCAGCTGCAACCTCTGGGGCTTCCTTGAACTTCTGCACCAGCGCGCGCATGGCGACGAGGTCTGTGCTGAACCGCTCCGAACCGCCCAGCGCACGGACCACGGCGTCGAACTGCTCGACCGTGGCCTCCATGCCTGGCAAGAATGTGGACAGAGACGGTGACTTGTCATCGAACTGCACCGCGGGACCGACCACATGGCGCAGCCTCTCCTCAAGCTCCACGATGTGTTTGTTAGCAACTTGCTCGTCCTGCTCGACCTGCGCCAGGGCCAGCTTGGCCTTCTCCAGCGTCGCACGAGCAGCCTCTTTTTTGACAGCGATGCTGGACAGCTTCGTGCGAGCGGTCTTGAGCTGACTGGTGAGCCCCTGCAGATTGGCCTCGATAGGTTTGTCGGCCTGAAGCTCGGCCTGCAAGCGCTGCTTCTCGGCTTCATACACCGCACGCTGCTCGGCGTCCTCAGGCCCCGACAGGAGCTTGAGCAGGCTGCCAAGCTTGGTGAGGCGCTCACGCTTGACCGCCACTCCAGTGCCTTTAGCCCAGGGAGGAATAGCGGGCTCCTTGGACTCCAACTCCGTACCATTATGACTGCCAACCAACTTCTGCATGCGCTGCTGCAACTCTTCCAACTGCTTAGTGAGGAGCTTCTCACGCTTCGTGGCCAGTTCATGAGAGCGCTGCACTGGGACCTTGGGCGGGGGCACCCCGTAGAAAGCGGAACCTTTCGGGATGCCACACTTGCCACACCACTTCTGATCACCAAGGTTGATCCAGCTCGTTCCCGTAGGCTCATGCTTGCACCATTTGCAATACCATGGGCCTGCCTCCGTGCTGCGTGACCTGGGCGCCATGCCGACGGGCGGAAGGGCAGGTCGAGTGCGTACACGACGAGGAACCACGCGAGGCAAGACAAGCGGGCCGTGGTGGGGCTGGGCCGTGCGGGGCGGACCGCACGGCGCTCTGCCTGGGGCGAACCAGGCGAAAGACGAAAGCTGGCCGCGGACTAGCGGTATCCACTTTGTTCCCAGGGGAAACCAAAACCTTGAGCCAAAATGGCTACGGAGGAGGAGGAAAAGGAGGAGGAGGAGGAGGAGGCGGATGAGGAGGAGGAGCAGCAGAAGGCTCGGAAGTCCCCCGGCCGTCTGACAAGTTTTCAAAGCCTTCCCAGAGGACACAAAAATACACCTCTCAGGAGTCGCGAGGGCTTCCGAGGAATCCCGCCGCCTTTCTGAGAACGCCTTCTCCTTCTCATTTCCCCCCTCGCTCGCCGCCGACATGTAGGCGCTGGGCGCTGGGGCGCCGCCCTCGACAGGGCCGCCGAGGCCGCAAGACCTGCTCCCAGCGAGCTGCTCGGCCGCCGCCGCCCCGGCCCAGCGCTCTCCCGCTGGGGCGCGACCCTCGTCAGGGTCGCCGCAGCCGCCCCGCCAGGCTCTCGCGAGGGCGCCACCCTCGTCAGGGTCGCCGCAGCCCCGCCAGGCTCTCGCGAGCGGCTCGGCCGCCGCCGCCCCGAGCCAGCGCTCTCTCGCTGGGGCGCAGCCCTCGTCAGGGTCGCCGTAACCGCCCCGCCAGGCTCTCGCGAGCGGCTCGGCCGCGGCCGCTCCGGCCCAGCGCTCTCTCGCTGGGGCGCCGCCCTCGTCAGGGTCGCCGTAGCCGCCCCGCCAGGCTCTCGCGAGCGGCTCGGCCGCCGCCGCCCCGAACCAGCGCTCTCTCGCCGGCGCCCCGCGCGGAGGCTGCGCGCCCAGCATGGGCCCTGGCGGGCGGCCCGGGGGCGGGGGGCGGCAGCGGGCTGCGGCCCAGTCCCCAGCGGCGACGGAGGGAGGAGTGGGCGGGGCAGGGCTGGCGCCGACCCGGGCCAGAGGGGGGCGCCCCAATTGAGCGAAGATCAGAAACGGGTCTTGCGCGAGATGGCGCAGCGACCTTGCGCGGCGGCTTACGCGGCTCACCAGCGCGGAAAGTCACAATGGAGGCGAGGGCGCTTGCGCGAGATCATACCCGAGCAGCATACGCGCGAATGTCGGCGCAGTCGAACCCTTTTTTTGCGTCGCTCATTTGGAGGGATCGCTGGTGGCGACGGGGCTCCAGCAAGGAGGAGCACAAGGAGTGCAATACTCAGACCAGCCACAGCTGGGAGAGCAGCCGTCTGGCTGTTCTGGGAATGCGGCCCGCGTGCGGGTGTCATGCTCTCATCGGGTCGGCCGTGCTCGCTTTCACCAGGGTCTGGGCAAGCCACGCCCGGGCAATTAGAGGAACCCGGGCAGGAGGGGGTAGAAGGGCCTCCCGTGCGCGGATGCCGAATGCCGTGCGCGTTGAAGACGATACCCAACGGTGCAACAATCCTGGGGGAGGGAAGGGACTGGAATTCCCAATGGGGGAGCGCACGGCGCGAAATACTCAGCGCAGCCACGCCATACACTTTGAAGCCTAATGGGGGCCCGCCGATGCTTCGCCTGATGGGCGCTTCGTGGCCGCCCCGTGCCGTGGCTGGGTCCTCTGAAGGTTCGCCTGGCGGGCGCCCGTGGGCGCCTCGTGGGTGCCCCGTGCGCCGGAGGCGTGCGCCGAAGTTTCGCCCTGGGCTCCCGTGGGCGCTGTCGACTGTACCACGAAGCTTGCGCAGCATAACTTGCACGACATACTGCCCACCAGATATAATGGATTGCATCAAAGCTTGCGCCACACATGCATCTCTGTATACAGATAGGTTGTACTGCGTGACTTGGAATACACACATACACACGACACACAAGCGCACGCACCCATACACCCCCTCATACACACCCACACACTTACTTGCACACTTACTTGCACACTTACACGCACTTAGACGCAGACACAGACACAGACACAGACACAGACACACACACACAGACACAGACAACAAGACACGCAAACACACGGACACACAGACACACGGACACACAGACACACCGACACACACTCAGACACACACAGACACACACAGACATACACAGACACACACAGCCACACACACAGCCACACACACACACACGCACACGCGCACACGCAAGCGCACACGCACGCGCACACGCAAGCGCACACGCACACGCACGAACACACGCACACGCACACGCACACACGCACACGCGCACACGCACACACGAACACGCACATGCGCACACGCACACACGCACACGCGCGCACGCACACGCACACACGCTCACACACACACACGCACTCACGCAAACGTACATACGCACACGTACATACGCACACGCACACGCACACGCAAACGCACACGCACACGCACACACACGCACACGCACACGCACACGCGCACGCGCGCACGCGCACACGCACGCGCACACGCACACACCCAGACACCCACGCGCACATGCGCACGCGCACGCGCACGCGCACGCGCACGCGCACGCGCACGCAAACGCGCACATACACGCACACGCACACGAACACGCGCACGCGCGCGCACACACACACACACACGCACACACACAGACAGGCACACACGCACAAAAACACGCACGCACGCACACACACACACACACGCACACACACACATACACGCGCACACACACACACGCACGCACACACACGCACACCACGCAGCACACGCACGCACGCGCGCACCCACGCACCCACAACACGCATCCACACACACCCACCCGCGCACCCACACACGCACACGCACACGCACACGCACACGCACACGCACACGCACACACACACGCACACGCACACGCACACGCACACGCGCACGCACGCACGCACGCACACAGACACACACACACACACACACACGCGCACGCACACACACGCATACACGTACACACGCAGACACACACACAACACATACACACACCACACACACACGCGCACCCGTGCCCGCACCCGCACCCGCACGCGAACCCGCACACACGAACACACGCGCACACGCGCACACACACGTGCACGCACGCGCACACACGCGCACACACGCGCACGCACGCGCACACACGCGCACGCACGCGCGCACACAGACACGCACACACACGCGCACACGCGCACGCACGCGCAAACACGCGCACGCACGCGCACGCACGCGCACCCACGCGCACACACACGCAGACGCACGCGCATAGACCCACACGCGCACACGCACACACGCGCACACACGCACACACGCGCACACACACGCGCACGCGCACGCGCACGCCCGCGCACACGCGCGCGTACACGCACGCGCACACGCACGCGCACGCACACACGCGCACGCACACGCGCACGCACGCGCGCACGCACACGCACACGCACGCGCACACGCACACGCACGCGCACGCGCACGTACACGCGCATGCACGCACACACGCCACGCGCGCGCGCACGCACACCCGCACGCACACACGCGGGCACACATGCGCGCAAATGTGCACGCACACGCACACGCGCACATGCGCGCACGCACGCCACACACGCACACACGCACGCGCACGCACGCACGTATGCGAACACGCGCACACACACGCGCACGCACACACAGACACGCGCGCACGCACACGCACACGCGCACACGCACACGCACACGCGCACGCACACGCACACGCACGCGCACACGCACACGCACGCGCACGCGCACGCGCACACGCACACGCACACGCACAGCACACGCACACGCACACGCACACGCAAACGCACACGCACACGCACACGCACACGCACACGCACACGCACACGCACACGCACACGCACACGCACACGCACACGCACACGCGCACGCACGCACACGCGCACGTCGCACACGCACACGCACACGCGCACACGCACGCGCACTCGCACACGCACACGCACACGCGCACGCACACGCACGCGCACGCGCACGCGCACGCGCACGCGCACACGCACACGCACACGCACACGCACGCACACACAACACACACGCACACACGCACGCACACGCACACGCACACGCACGACACACACACACGCACGCACACCAACGCACCCACACACCCACGCACCCACGCACCCACGCACCCACACACCCATACACACACGCACCCACACACCCACACACCCACACCCACACCCACACCCACACCCACACCCACACCCACGCCCACATCCACACCCACACACACGCACGCACGCACACCAACACCCACACCCACACCCACGCGCACACGCACACGCACACGCACACGCACACGCTCACGCACACGCACACGCACACGCACACGCACACGCACACGCACACGCACACGCACACGCACACGCACACGCACACGCACACGCACACGCACACGCACACGCACACGCACACGCACACGCACACGCACGCGCACGCGCACGCGCACGCGCACGCGCACACGCACACGCACACGCCCACGCACACGCCCACGCACACGCACACGCACACGCACACGCACACGCACACGCACACGCACACGCACACGCACACGGCACACGGCACACGGCACACGGCACACGGCACACGGCACACGGCACACGGCACACGGCACACGGCACACGGCACACGGCACACGCACCACGCACGCGCACGCGCACAAACCCACACCGCGCACGCACACGCACACGCGCCACGCTTCACGCACCGCACACGCACACGCATCACGCCACACGCATACGCACACGCGCACGTGTGCGCACCCGCACGCACACACACCCGCACCCGCACACGCACGCGCAAACGCACACGCATACGCACACGCACACGCACACGCACGCGCAAACGCACACCGCACACGCACACGCACACGCACGCGCACACGCACACGCACACGCCACGCCCGCACCGCGCACGCGCCCACACGCCACACGCACACGCCCCACGCGCACCACGCACACGCACCACGCACACGCGCACCGCGCCACGCGCACGCGCACGAACACGCACGCGCGCACGCGCACGCGCACGCACACGCGCACGCGCGCGCACGCGCACACGCACACGCACACGCGCAAGCGCACACGCACGCGCACGCGCACACACACGCACACGCACGCGCGCACACACGCACACTCACACGCACACGCACGCGCACACACCCACACACTCACACACAATCACGCTCGCACTCGCACATGCACTCACACTCACACTCACACACACACCGCACACACACGCACACGCACACGCACACACGCACGCGCGCACACACGCACACACGCACACACGCGCACACGCACACACGTACACGCGCACACACGCATACACGCACACGCGCACACGCACGCACGCACGCACGCACGCACGCACACACGCACACGCACACAAGCACACACACACACACACACGCCACGCACGCAGCGCACGCGCACGCGCGCGCGCACGCACGCACACCGACACGCACACGCACACGCACACGCACACGCACGCGCACGCGCACGCGCACACGCACACGCACGCGCACGCACACGCGCACGCGCGCGCACGCGCACACGCACACGCGCGCACACACACGCACGCACACACACGCCACACACACACACGCGCACACACACATACACACGCACACACACACACGCACACGCACGCACACACACACGCGCACGCACGCACACGCACACGCACACGCGCACGCACACACACGCACACACACACGCGCACGCACGCACACACACACGCACACACACACGCGCGCACACGCACACGCACGCAGACACACGCACGCACACACACGCACGCGCACGCACGAACGCGCGCACACTCACACGCACACACACGCACGCACACGCACGCACGCACACACACGCACACGCACATGCACACGCACACGCACACACACACGCACGCGCACATCACACACGCACGCACACACACGCACACGCACACCACGCACGCACGCACAAACACGCACGCACACACGCACACACACGCAATCACACACACGCACACACACACGCACACG